AGTACAAAAAAAACCAAGAAAGAAAACCTACGCTTTTGAAGCCTGAACATCCACAGGGACCTCAGCGCGATCCCGAGCTGCCTCCTGCCCCACCGCAGGATTCGGGCCTGCCATCTGTGACCAGGGAGACGGGGCAGGCACCGTGGGATTGGGCGTGCCATCTGCCACAAGGGGAGCAGGCCTAAGCCAGCAGGTGGTTATCTCCCGAGGGGTCCCAGACTGTGAGAGGGCACAGGTTGCGCTGAGGGACCCCTGCCCCTGCAAGTGCACAAATTTTTGTGTACCGGGCTTCTAGTTTTATGTATAACAGACTGCTTGATATTTACTGTCCTATATGTCACTGATGCTGTTCAGTTTAGTCCCCATTCACAGGTCTTTTTTTCTCTCCATACTTTGTTCAGGCTAGCTTTTATGTTAATACTTATGGCTATGTTAATACTTAAGCTCCTTGATTTTTTTTGCATTGTCTAATCTGTTCTTAATCCCATCCATTGAGATTTTCCTTTGCAATACTGTATTTTTTTAACTCCTAAAGTTCAATTTGGTTCTTATTTCTTTGTTGTTTTTCTTTTTTTTATGAGACTATCTTTTTTTAAGTGTACAATTCAGTGGGTTTGTTCTCTTTGTGGGGTTTGTGTGGGGGTTTTTAGTATATTCATGAAGCTATGCACCTAACCACTATTTCATTCAAAAAACATGTTTGTCATTCCAAAGAGAAATCCCCATTCCTATTAGCAGTTACTTCCCATAATCTTCTCCCCTGCCCCTGGAAACAAATAATTTCTGTTTCTACAGATCTATCTGTTCTGAACATTTCATATAATGAAATCATACAATATGTAATTTTGAATCTGGCTTCTTTCACTTAGAATAATGTCTTCACTATTCATCCATGTTATAGCATGTAACAGTATTTTACTCCTTTTTATGGCTGAATAATATTCCTTTGCGTGGATATACTACATTTTATTCATTCATCATTTGATGGGCATTTCAGCTGTTTCTACTTTTTGGCTATTCTGAGTAATGCTGCTATGAACATTCATGTACAAATTGTGTAGGCATATGTTTTCAATTATTTGGGGTATAAAACTAAAAGTGGAATTGCTGAATCAAATGATAACTCCATATTTAACTTTTTAAGGAACCGCCAAAAGCTTACAAAATGGCTGTGTCATTTTACATTCCCAATTCTCTCAACAATAAAGATTTTTTTAAAAGAAGAGAGATTAGGTCATTTTCCCAAATGCACAGCTAGTTAGTGGTTTTGAGCCCATATAGTTTAGGGCATGGACTCCTAAATACTGTGCCACTTTTTCCATGTGGTCAATTATTTCCTAAGGATAAGTGCCTAGAAGTAGAAATGCTGGTTCAAAGAGTAACACAAACATTTAATAAGAAGATAGTCAAAGAAAATACC